AAGAAACAACAAAATTCAGCATATGTAATAAACCAATTTCAATAGTATAAAACGAAGTGAGGTACTTTTCTTCTATAACATATCTCATACGCAGACCGCTACAAATAGAGTTTCATTTATCGACAAGTTTTCGGGAGCAGAACCAAATGGAACCATCCCTACTATGTCCTTGTAGTTACCCTACTCATGTTACCTGTGGGTGAAGGAGGAACAGATCTGTCTATTGAACAGTGTGATGGTATAGCCTCAGTTGAGAACATATTGGCTACTGAAGAAAGCAGTCTTCTGGGATTTGGCACCGTGTATATGTGGTGTTAACCGACGTTTCGGAGGAACGTATAGCCCCCATCTTCAGGGTTGAAGAAAAAGTTTAAGAAATCTCTTCAACCCTGAAGATGTGGGCGATACGTTCCTCCGAAACGTCGGTTAACACCACATATACACGGTGCCAAATCCCAGAAGACTGCTTTCTTCAGAGTCACCGCTGTGAAAGCCTCAAATCTTACATATTGGCTACTGTTATACATGGAACACGCACAGGTCACTCTAGAATAAGCAGTGAATGTTTTTGCTCAGGTAGTAGTCCCTAATCCATGCTGTCTGCCGGACCTTTAACGCATCGGACTTCCTGTATTGCTTGCAAGTCCAAACATCAGAGTCTAGTACAGTAAATGGTATACAGATAGCAGTAATGTCGCTGGTGTTTAAACTTAGTAATAAGCACGGCAAAGAGGACCGCTTAAGAGTAATATTCCAGAGGGAATAACGAATAGAAGAGAGGAAATGACAGTTTTCTCGAGCATAAATTTAATTGTTTTGCGTGTTCCATTGAATTTCGAGTCAAATGGTGTTTAGATGACATATAACAGGAAGTGATTTATTTCTGAGTTTCATTTCCAACAAGAGCCTCAGGTTCAATTCCATTATCGTAATCCATGATAGAGATAGAGACCTGAGGTTTTGGCTGTAGAACTGTTTGGATAATCTGCTATTACGTTCAAAGCCATTTCTTACTTTCGCCTATACTCTGATCAGTCACGGCTCTTAGGCAGAATTCTCCCCAGTAATGGAAGACAGGATTTCTTTCATCACAAATAAAACCAACGGATATTAACAGATACATTGTCCAGTCTGTCTGATGTCCTTCTTGGCTATCCTCAGCCCAATCCGAGCAATTCACGGATAACTCCTTATACTAATCCACGATTACTTTCCTTAGACCATTTTCTAATTAATTATTCTATATTTAACATATCATTTGGCGATATACAGGGTGTAAATAAATATATGTTACAACGCTCTGTGATAGATAGATGGGTTCAATGCGATCATATTTTGTTAATACACCCACGTCCGGAAACGCTTTGCTTACGCGCTGGGGCCTCTGAAATGTGAAGGAGGACGCCCTCACCACTTACCTCTGTGGTTACTGGTGACACCTAACATTTCTCCAAGAGGCCTTACCCGAGCTGCTGGAAGCGGTGCCTTTGGAAGTCCGTCGTGAAATGTGGTTCCAGCATGATGGCGCCCCAGCACACTGCACTGATGTCATCCGTGAGTATGTGGATGAAACCTTTGGGAACAGATGGATTGGACGTGGGGGCCCAATAACCTGGCCCCCTCGCTCTCCTGACTTGACTCCATTGGATTTCTTTCTCTGGGGATACATGCAAAGCCTGGTGTGTGAGACTCCAGTGGAGACGCAACATGATGTTGTCACAAGAATTTCAGTAGCAGCTGGAACCATCCAGGAAATGCAGAGGAGCCTTCAATGAGCTCAGCGTAACATAGCCAGGCGGTGCAGAATATGCAATGAAGTCGGCGGCCGCCATTTTGAGCAACTTTTATAACGTAAAACAACGATAACACTCCTTAATATAATACTTCAGTTTCCGAACATGGATGTGTTAACAAAATATGATCAGATTGAACACATCTATCTACCACAGAGCGTTGTAACATATTTATTTACACTCTGTATAGGCCGAGATATAGGCAGTGTCGTTAAAAAGACGTAAGCGCGAATAAAGCATAATATAGAGAAGCGAGGGGGACAAGCCCACGGTTCATCCAATTAGTCTACGAATGTAGACTAGGGGACTACAGAGGAAGTTGCTCTCTCGAGTAACTGTACATGAGAAAGAAGAAACGCACACAATCGCTGTGCACCGGAACAGGAAATGAAGTGCCAGCCATTAAAAATAACCTAGGCTTATTATTCCTACACACCATATCAGACATTTACCGTACATACTGTGACATGTAAAACCTTTTCCGAGTAACGTCTGTGTAAACAGGCGACAGTACAACAGCTGTTGCTAGGAAACAGCTCTATGTACATGTTTCCCCGACAATGAGAGAACGCAAGGTGAAGCCAGACACAGAAAATATACGAGGCTTATATTTGGCGGTGGTCAAGCTTACGGCCGTTCAAGTGACTAATGAATGTCTGTATGAGGGGTAGGCCTTCTCGGCCCTTGCACCGCGACCTACAGTGGTCTGGTGTGCTTTTCAAGTGACTAAGGTGCCGTTGTAGCATAAGATAATTAAGAGATGCATGATCTGCTCTGTAAAGCCTGTACCGACAGAGTGCAGAAGAAAGAATTTTCAGTAATATTCTATACGTGCAAAATGTACATTTGACGAAAGGCCAAACATATTCGTAAGAAACAAACCCATCTTCTCGTCAGAGAGGATGATACATAAGGCCTATTACCGCAAGACTTCGGCTGAAAACAACTCTGGTCGTGGGTCTCAAGGGGCTTCGCGCCAAGACGAACTGACTGGCGGTAAACCAGCAGTCGTAAAGTAACGTTGACTTTGACTTTGACTTGAGTTGTTGAGTCAGTGAAGAGATGCAGTTGTGAGAAGTGAGAAGTGAGAAGCTGGTAGCTGGGGCCGGGAACAGATCGGGAACCCAGAGGGAGTGGAACGTCCGCCGTTGGAAACCGCTACTAAGCAACGGTTATTGAATACTGAGAAGACTTTTTGTGCTCAGTAGTTGCAGAGATGTTTGGAGTGTGTAATTCATTGAGACTTTCATAGTTATTTGTAGTTTCGATTTGTAATATTCAGACAAATCCAATTACCAGTCCAAACCCCGTCAATAGTCAGTCAATCACGCGGTTATAATTTATTTATTTATTTATTTGAGGTTTATTTAATGGCTTTCTCGGTAGCTAATTTTATATATAGATTTACCTAAACTGTGGCTTGTGAGCTGTACGTGGTTCTTTTGAACCTCTAGTGAGGTTCGTGGGGGAAAATAAATGTTGGTCAATCCCTTTTTTCTTACAAATAAGTTAAAATATATAAAAAAAGTCTGCTGTGTGGAAAGCTTACGCCCAGATATTTGCCGCCATCCAATCTAAGCCTGCTTGGAGCTCCAATATTTCTGAAAATGATTGCATGAGGTTCCCATGTTCAGTAAGTTTGGCTGTTCCTTCCGTACAATACCCGTATATATGAAACGCTTAAGTAGGTTCCCGCTCCTCGCCAAGTGGAGTAAGTTCACGAGAACGCCAAAGAAGAAGGTCCTTGACTGCTCCAGTGAGAGAGCTACTGACAGGGGATACACGCGAAGCAAATAACAGAACGCAACAATTACGAGAGTACAACTCAGAAATGACGTTCGCATCAACGGGCGCGGAGATTGGATCGCCACATGGAAGTGGTGCATTTGTTTCCGGATACGGCCAGATTTACTACCGTATTTATGCATGTATATGCCGCACATTTTTTGCCAAAAATTCAAGAGGAAAACTGGGGTGCGGCTTATATTCGAAATATTCGAAATCACACTTCATTTAAAAAAATATATTCATAATTAGTAATACAGGGTGTTCTACTCCTGAAATAATATTCCAAGAAAATTATTTTTTCTATAATTTCTATCTGAAAATTGTGCTGCGGCCTATACACGCACGCGGCCTATACATGAGTAAATACGGTATTTTCTCTCACATAGATAGCCATATGAGTGAAAGACGCTAGGATATTGATAACTTAATATTTTAGTTTCTGCTGGAGGGACGCAGTAGCGTAATTGGCTGAGGCACTGCGCTACAAGCCAGAAGGTCACGGATTCGATTCCCGATGAGGTCATTGGATTTTTAATTGACCTCATCCTTCAGCTGCACTATGACCCTCGGGTCGACTCAGCTACTAACAGAAATGAGTATCAGGAATTTTCCTGGGTCTAAAGGGCGTTCGGGAAAGTAAGGCTGACAACTTCACCGATATCTGCGAGCCAATTGGCTAGAAAATGTGGGACCTCGACGTCTCACTACCCTATGGGCTTCAATGGCCAGTTATAAGGATAGCTTTACCTTCACCGGCCCTGGAGCAACAACAAAAGAGGTTAAAAACAAATCGATCTACGTGTGTGCCTCACTGGTCAGAAGCTGCGACAAGTTCACATTTGCTGAGCCATACACACGAAAGCGCCTAAAATGAAATCAGGTACGCGAATAAGTGTACAATATGTCGATATTTGTTTAATAACCTTTAAGATCTGCTAGAATGACGTGTGTTACTCCGGGTACAACTAGTTCAGTGACAGACCATTAGCTCCAGAGAACAATAAATTACGAAGAAACTCGAAGGAACCGCTCGATTGGAGTTGTACAGAGCTACTATGCCCTTTATGATTGGAGGGACTAAGAAAGCCATGAAGAACTTTAATCTGGACCAACGTATGAATCCTGTATATCTCGACTACGAAGCAGGAGTTCTACTCTGTGGACCGCGACGCAAGGTATACTTATGGCAAGACAGAGAACCTTGTATGGGAAGAGATCTATTGGCGACTCTGCATCAAAGGAGACAACACATTACGGACAGGATCTCGTGCAGAGCGTGAGAAGTTCTCGTATGTAATGTACATCAATGGGCGGCCATGACACTAGGGCTATGCCTCTATTGTTATTGTGCACGGACTTAGTTTTTCAACTGTCCACTACCTACGACACGACACCAGCGAGGTAAAGCTCTCTAGAGACCTGGCTTACCGTTGGGATCCTTGGCTTCCAACCCCTCGGCTTCCAGCACAATCACGTTCAGGACAACAATGGGAGGCTGTAATGAAAAACAAAAATCATGTATCTCAATAAATATGCAAATCACATATATTTGTACTTCTTCAACTTCCTGTGAGGTCCTCTCTTATTCCCTTCATTATCGAACGATACGTCCAGGCCAACGTTAAACGCCATCTCCAACGCATAACACACATAAGCCTTCCGGCCATCATGATGTGTGTACCTGCTCCTTCCTCTACATTGGCCTATGTTTACGTATGCATCTATTTTCTGTAGCCAGTCATTTATTTGTCAGTGGAATTCCTTTATATTCGTCTTAATAAAAATTCTAAATACTAAGATATCAAACATGTGATTATGATACACAGAATTACTGGGATTTTGGACTTTTTTCATCGTCCGGAATTCTAGGTAATGGAGGACATGACGTTTCGGAAATTGGATCTGCTTCCGTCTTCAGGTGAGAGAGCAAGACACCTACTCAGTTGGGACCCTTAGAAAGAGTTAATCTTAATCTTTCCAAAGGGCCCAACTGAGCAGGTGTCTTCCTCTCTCACCTGAAGACGGAAACACACCCAGTTTCCGAAACGTCGTGTCCTCTATTACCTAGAATTCCGGACGACGGAAAAAGTCCAAAACCCCAGTAATTCTGTATGTCACCCACAATCGTCAGAGCCCTTTAGAATTTATGTGATTATGATATTTTTAAGAGTTAAAATGCCTTAATTATAACTGACGAATATAAAATCGTTGAAGTAGCTGCGGTGTAGTTTCTGTACAGTGCTGCGTTGCAGATTCCTGCCGTGTTCTATCGCCATGAGTTTTATATTGCCACGTACAGTATATCTACACAAATGCTGTGCTGACGGAAACCAAAGTAACACGTGTAATACATAACATGGCGCTAGGATATGATATTCTGGCAGTCTATCGTAAATTGTCTCCGTTATATGACAGTAAAATACACCACATAAAAGTAAAATAAAGTTATCCTTGTAACAGGTCGTGGAGGCCCATGGGGTTGTGAGACGTCGAGGCTCCCACATTTTCTAGACAATCGGCTTACAAATAGAAGTGAGATTGTCAGCCTTACGTGCCGGCCGCCCTTTGCCTCCATGAAGATTCCTGGTACTCATTTCTGTGAGAGGCTGAGTCGACCCCAGGGTCATAATGTGGCTGGAAGGATTAGGTCAATTGAAAATTTCAATTATCTCATCGGGAATCGAATCCGCTACCTTCCGGCTTATAGCATAGTGCCTCAACCAACTACGCTACCGCGTGCCCACCCTACTGCACACACATCGACATTAAAGAATTATCAGTAGGCAAAGAATAGACACTATACAATGAGGAAGAAAAATGCTGCCCTCCTTCGTGACCTGTTACACAACACGCCAATATTTTAATAAATTCATGCACATCGCTGTATTTGTTAAGGCTACTATTTTATATTCATGACAGTGTAATAGTAGTGTCTATATATACTGATAATGATCAATCATTATTATAACACTAGTTTTCGCATGCATTGATAATGTCCTGCAGATGGTCGCTCCGACCTAAACATGTAAAGGATGAAAGATTAAAGAAAGGAAAAACATTTATCAGCCACAATGGACGGCGTTAATAATCTTTTATACTATTAAGCATTTCTTTCTTTCTATAATCTTTCGATTTCGAACTCATGCTCTTACCGTTTCCTGAAGCATGCAGTCAACTTCTCCTCACACTAAGAAACTAGCAGTGCCTAGCACTAAGCCAAGGGAAGCTGCCATACTGCATGAATGTCAACTGCACTGAGACGCGACACCCAAGGAATCGAGGTTCTATTCTAGTAGGGGACAAGAAATTGGTCTCCTCTGCACAACATCTAGAACATCTAGACGGAACGTGAGGCCCACCTAGCCTACTACCCAGTAAATACTTGGAACTTTTTCCGGGCCAAAGTGGTTTGTGCGACGGGCTGATCACTCGTCCAAGGAGTCCTACCGTCTGTAAGTATATTTGGGATTCCCCACATGGCGTCGTACTTAATTTAGCACAAAAGTTACAATTCCAAACGGTTACAACCCCACCACCATCTGTGAGAAGGTTATCTACAAAATGTGGGAGTCTTGTCTCACATTTCTATGGGCCACATGGTCTATTACAGAGATAGTTTTACCTTTACTATTTCAAATGGTTTATGGGACAGACGGACATGATCTTTCCATTATGCGTTCACCATTATGTATTGCATGAAAAGATGGAGTAAGAAGAACAGAGCTACATATCACGCAGTGATATCGCAGTTGGAATCTCTTGAAACTCGTATCGCTTTGAAATTCCAGCAGCAACGTCACAAGCTAATTACACGCACTGCCCGTTGCTATGGACATACTGGAGTGAACGGAGATGTTCTGACAACAGAGCAACTAGTTTCATATTACATCCAAGTCAGCCGTATTGTAACCTGCTGCCTTCCTAGATCTATGCCATCGAAATATTTTAAAAATGTACCTCTCAACATAACTCACACACAAAACCTTTTAAACGTTAAAAATAAAATCTTCTGTCCGAGAATTTCAGTGGTTTTTGTAGACAGCTCCAGACAAATGCTAGAATGGGACTTCTAATCGACCGTTTCCTGCCATATCCTATCCAGTCTATTCCTCACCAGCAGTGCTACAATTTGATGCTATGTACGCCGAAAAAGACAGATCAGAAATAGCGCTTTGGATTTGTATTCGGGAGGTGTTCGCTTCGAGTTTCGGCCGGAACGTTGGCTATCTTGATTGAGGTATTTTGTGATTTTTCTCAGTTCCTCCCCCAAAAAATCGAAAAATTACTTAGGTTAGGCCATGACCGCTTCCTCCCACATCCTCCCAGTGAATGCTATACAGACCGGACAGATTCGTCCGGCGATAACGCTGTAGAATTACGTACACTGTAGAGATGCTGAGTTAGAAAATTGGTCGGGACACCGGATATCGTGATTGAGGTATTTTGTGCTTTTCCTCAGTCCCTCCAGTTAAAGTCCTGATAGTACATCAATTAAGACACGACCACTTCCTGTCAAATTTGTTCCAATTCATTTATCATTCTATCAGGCTACGCTATACCGTTTCGGTAACAACAGCATCGTAGTCACATAAAATACTTAGGCACTACGCAATCTCAGATTCTGACAATGCCGTCGAATGAACCACGAAAGAAATTCCTAGGTTGGTGACATAATTCGTCAGCCAAAGTAATTTCCAGAGTTCCTGGCTACAAATCCAGAGGTCCCGGGTTCGATTCCCGGCGCTACCAGATTTTCTGAGAAGTAATGGGTCTGGAACGGGATCCACTCAGCCTCGTGAATATAATTGAGGACCTATTTCAAGGAAATAGAGGCTCCGGTCTAGAAAACCGAGATTAACGGCCCTGGGGATCCGTTGCGCTGACCACGCGAGACCCTCTATTCGCTAGAGTTGGCACGAACTTCGCCGACAAGCGGCGGTCGCTCTGCCGGTGTAGTTCCCTCGCGGAGCCGCTGTTTCCTTGAAATAGCTCCTCAATTATCCTCGCGAGGCTGAGTGGATCCCGTTCCAGACCCACTACTTCTCAGAAAATCTGGTGCGCCGGGAATCGAACCCGGGACCTCTGGATCTGTAGCCAGGAACTCTGACCACTAGACCAAAGAGGCGGTCAGTAATTAATGCACAGATAAGTAAATGAGATGTTTAACAATCACGTTAAAACGACTGAGTATATTTAATACATTATCACGAATTTCTTTCTGAAGGCACTCTCAACCACAAAAATAAATTGTAAGTTAGATCTATCCCTGTTCTTGTTTGAGGAACACGCCATGAAGACATGCAGAGGATTAACACTGCTCGTTCTTAACCTCAATACTAGACGCAGGTGAGTAACGAGTTTCACGCCCTAGCCGATTCACCCCAATAGGAAGGGAACCCGTTCTTTTTTAATGGTAGTGGGGTGGGACTAAGTCCCTTGTACTGCGGCCACTTCTGGCCTATTGTACCAGCCCCAGATGATAGGTGAGGGTGATTGTGGAGCAATTTGTGGAATGAAGATTGGCAGGGGAAACCGAAGTACTCGGAGAAAACCTGCCCCAGCGCCTCTTTGTACACCACAAATCCCACTTGCCCAGACCCGGGATCGAACCCGGGCCGCCGCGGTGGGAAGCCAGCGACTAACCGGTTGAGCTATGGCGCGGCCCTTAGGGCACCCATTACTCGATAGATAGGAGGCTCCGTGGAGAAGAGATGTCTCTCTTGCCTCCGCTAGGAATCAATCCCCGATTTCGTGGTCGTCCAGCCCGTATGCTATTCACTATTTCGCTTCTGCCACTCGCGCCTCATAACTTAATGTTCTATAAACAGAAACCAAATGTTTACGCGAAATTACTCCATTAAAATCCGGTTATTTCTTTCCGTTTCCGCATAATTTCCGTTTGTTACAGTTGATTATTACAATGGTTTCAGATAAGGCTGGTTTCCGGTCTAGACGGGTTTGTCAACATTATTATTCATCCAACTAACCCTGACTCACCTTTTCTTCACTAGCGATTGCCATGAACTTCCGGTGAAGATCGGCAGGAATGCCGAATGCTTCCTGGGCGTAACAGTACAGGTCTTCCTTGTAGTGCGAGTACTGGCCGGTAGAGGCGCCCACTTTGTTGGTGATAGTGTACAACACCTCCACATACAACTGCTCAATCTGAAAATAGAAGATCGTACAGAGAAATCACAGAGTTTAAGTGATAAGCAGCTATCTATCCGTGAAGCTGTGAGGCTGAACAGGATATCTCGATCGAACACACACAGATTTCTCCTATTGGTCTCTTTCCTACAGGTTTCCCTACCAAACTTCTGTAAGCACTCCTCTCATTTGATTTGATTATTCCAATAATATTTTGGCGCAAAGTAAAAACTGTGAAGCTCATCATTAATGCAGTTTTATCCAGCCTCGTAATTTTGTATCTCACATGTACAAATATGTTCCTAAGCATCTTGTTCTCAAACACATTAAAACTGATAAGAAAAGGTTTTTATTTAAAATTCTTAATACTCAGAATTATTGGGTTTCTGGACTTTGCCCATCGCTCTATATTCTAAAAACTAGAGAACACAACGTTTCGGAAACTGGATCTGTTTCCGTCCTCAGGTGAAGGGGGGGATGTCCAATCATTGGATAACCAACGTCAGTATAATTGCAGTTATGTCAATGCCTGAGACCAGGCTATGTCGAAGGGACATAACAGGATAATAAGCAATAAAAATTGTGACTGTTACCTCCCTTCGACACAGCCTGGTCTGCATAGCTGTAGTTATACTGACATGAGCTGTCCAGTGATTGAGGTCAGTTCTTTCTAACGGATCCAACAGAGTAAGTATCTCCCCCTTGACCTGAGGACGGAAACAGATCCCGTTTCCGAAACGCTACGTTCTGTAGTTTCTAGAATATCGTACGATGGAAAAAGTCCAAAACCCGGTGATTTTGAGTGTAATACATCATCGTCAGAACCATTTCTAATCTAAAATTTTTTAGTTCAGTTGAAATTCTGGTCTGAATTACGACGCGTGTTCCGTTGTTACTCAGGTTGCAGTTCATTTCCGCTGCAATGGTACTCTGACATCACATGATTGGTTTCCCCTGCGTAATGATGACGTAATACTTAATGAAATAACTGTCGAACAGTGCCACTAGATTGCTGCGTAACGCAGACTGCCAGTGCAATACGGTACACAGATAAATTTGTCTCTGTACTTAATTAATTAAGAGCCGGAGTAGAGCAGTCGGTATAGCGACTGGTTACGGGCTGGACGAACAAAGGGTCGGAGTTAGAGTCCCAAGGGGGGCAAGAATTTTAACTTCTGCATGTCGTCTAGACCGGATTTGGGGCGCACCCAAACTCCTATCCAATGGGTATCGGGGGCTATTTCCCCGGGAGTTAAGTAGTCGGAGCGTGAAGCTGACCACTCACCTCGAATTCTTGCCGAGATCAAGAAAACATGGGTCTATACCAGGCATGTCCAACTTCAAACAGATTGTGATCGACTTTTTAGTGTTAAAACTGCCAGTGATCTACCACCCCCTCCTATCGTCGTACCTCGCTTTAAGCAAAAATATTGGTAAAAATAACACGACACATGATGTTTGTTGTAAAAGCAACATACATTGAAAGTACAGACTACTTTAATACGTATTTTCCTTTCAAAATCTGAATATAATCATATTATATTACAACTGAATTTACATGCTTTTCACGTATAATTTCCTTATAGGCCTATGAGATCGACCAAAATTCGTCCCGTGATCGACCGGTCGATCGCGAGCGACGCGTTGGACATGCCTGGTCTATTCATCCACTTCCCCATACGCCTTCATGGCGTACGGGATAACGCAGTCGGTCAACCTCCTCTCCAATGGGTTCCGGGGGCTCTTTCCCCGGGGATAAAGGGCAGGGGCGCGAAGCTGACCACTCACCTCCAACTAATGCCGAGGTCAAGAAAATGTGGTTCTATACATCCATTGCCCCATACGCCTTCATTGCATAGTGCTTAATTAGTTAAGCACATGGACAACTTTACCTTTTACCTTAATTAATTACGCAGTTAAGCATTACACCATAAAGATGTATGGTAGATTGAAGGTATAGCTCCACCATTCTTAACGTCGGAATTGCATGGAGGTGGATGATCAGATGCTCCGGCCGCTTTACCCCCGAGGAAAGAACCTCCGGTACCCATTGGATAGGAGGCCAGAGAGCCGGTCTGTACGCTGTGCTTGACGGAACCCCGGCCATCGAGCTCGTGAGCTATCCGAGGTCGATATAATGCTTCACGATGCTTAATATTCATTTGGCTTCTTCTTGTAACAATAATTATAATTCAGTGGTACCAACCTCTTTCTTGTGTATCCTGCATTCTACAGGTTTGATTCCTACGGACAGTTCGCTAGGAGGCGGGTCTTCCGCTCTGCCCTCTACCTCCTGCATCGCCATCAGCCGCCTGTTCTCTCGTTTCCATGACAGCGCCGTGAAGCTCTCGAAGAACGAGCCATCCGTTTCTTGAACCCTGCAAGCAGGAAGGAAATTATTACAAGCTACTGAACAATGAGTTCTGGGAAGATCAAATGACGTCATCTTCATTCAAAGGCTTCAGACGCTATATAATGAGACTATTCACAGTTACAGATTTGTAAATTCAGAATGTAGCGATCAGTTTTGATAATTAGAATGATCAAGTCAAGGAGTATGAGGTGGGAAGGGCATGTAGCACGAATGGAGGAGAAGAGGAATACATATAGGATATTGGTGGGAAAGCCAGAAGGAAAGAGACCACTGGGAAGACCAAGACGTAGGTGGGTGGACAATATTAAAATGGATCTTAGAGAGATAGGATGGGATGGTATGGATTGAATTGATATGGCTCAGAATAGGGACCAGTGGAGGGCTCTTATGAACACGGTAATGAACTTTAGGATTCAACAAAATTCTGGGAAACTCTTGAGTAGCTGCAGATGTGGCTTCTCCTCAAGAAGGGCTCAGTTCCATAAGTAAGTAAGTAAACGATCAGCTTTTGTGAGTAATTACTGTTAACATTCCGAATATTTTGAATTCCCCACAAACATTATGTTATGTAAGATTTGAGGCTTTCACGGCGGTGACTATGAAGAAAGCAGTCTTCTGGGATTTGGCACCGTGTATATGTGGTGTTAACCGACGTTTCGGAGGAACGTATCGCCCCCATCTTCAGGGTAGAAGAAAAAGTATAAGAATTCTGCAAGCGACATTACCGTTTCTCACGGTGTTGTCGCTTGCAGAATTCTTATACTTTTTCTTCTACCCTGAAGATGGGGGCGATACGTTCCTCCGAAACGTCGGTTAACACCACATATACACGGTGCCAAATCCCAGAAGACTGCTTTCTTCATAGTCACCGCCGTGAAAGCCTCAAATCTTACA